GACGGACGACGGACCACGGACGCAGGGTGATTTGAATAGCCCACCATCAGATGATGGTGGGCTAAAAACTCAATTAAAAACAACATGTTTGTAGAATGTCTCTATTAAATTCGTTCAATTAACCCTCTGGAAAATGATCCCAGGCTGTCTGAGATATTCGATCTCAAAATCCGCATGGGTCTGCGTTGCGGCATTCCTGCTGCTCAATGAGAGAGAAAAAAAACATCTAAATTAATAAAACATTTCAAACTTTCACAACATTAACTGTGCTCAATTTCGCATTCATGCAAACGCCATAACGTCATTTAAACTATGATAAGTCGTTAACACTCGCATTCGGCTTGTGCTGTCAAAAACGTATATATTGAACTTGTCCTTTATTCTTTTTTTAATGTTCTCGCACGAGTGCAGGCAAATTATTCACCATGTACCCAAATTCGCCACCCTGTGACGAAAATGCCATATGTATGGAACGCCAAATTAACATATATTCAAATAATTGCACCTATCAAGATAGGTAGAACAAAAAAATCAATATTGGAGATATTCATTCAATTATTTGAAGATCATGATGTGCAATTACTTGAATATGTTAATTTGGTGTTTCATACATATGACGACACGTATACATAACTGATTATTAACGTCACCATAGTCATCAGCAAAGTAAAAGCCTTAAAACATTTTGATATGAAGAGAAAAGTTATATTGTTAATTAAACCAGAGACATATGTATCAGAGATGGTATAATGTATTATATATATACGTCTCTGCTCTGATTAAACAATTATTAAAGTGCATGTTGCACAACCGTGAATCTTAAATATTTGTTCTGCGTGCGACGGATATCTCGTCAACTTAACTTATTAACCCAAAAACAGAGACGCATATATATTACAATATAACGTCTCTGTTGATTGTGATTTAGTGTAAGTCAGTACTGATATAGTTGATATAGTTACTGTACGTTGTAATTTAATTTGAAAATTCTAATCATAATGTAAGTTTATTTGTTCAGAGACGTATATATTACATATGTAATATATATACGTCTCTGATATGTTCAATCACGGAATTATCTAAGTGCGTGGTTCAATACTAATTTTAATTTTTAACACGTAACAATTTCCTTTATTTGAAATTTCTATTTTAAAATTCATGAAGTTAATTTCAGCACAAAAGAAAATGTTATAAAACATGTGTATTAAAGTTAATATTTACATTACAGCAGATACGTACTATTACGACAAGAATCAGTAAAAGCTAGTTCTACGATTACAAGGCCGAGTATTTGTTTGTCCTTGGATTATCTCCCATATTTCTCCGCCGCTAGGGGTGTCGCGTTAGTCTGACCATCGCACCGCAAACCGCAAACAGCAAAAATGGCTTCCCATGCATTGTCACAAATGCTGGACGAGCTCATGGGGCGGGATAGAAATCTAGCCGCAACCGAGAGGAAAAGTGAATTACATTGGCAAGACCCCGAGGTAATAAATCCGACACTATTAAATACCGACAGTTGTCAATTTTGATGATTGAAATACTTAATCCGGTGATTGTGAAAACGAGACCATGTGCGTTTTCCGACTTGTTTGCAGAAATTAGGTTGCTGGAGTTGTTATCGTTTTGAATTTCATTAAGTACAATATGTCCTAATGGTCATATAGTATAAACTTGGAATAGTTATACTTTTAAACCTCTTAGCAACTTATTAATGCCTATAAAACCTCTGATTTTCGGAAACATTTTTGGGCAATGCCTAGTTTCTGTCTTTCCCTTCAAACCCGGACAAGCATGAGAGTTCAAGCGGACCATATATTAACAACATTGTTACCGTGTCATTTACTCAACTTCATACCCATACTCCACCCTTGTGGAGTGGATCATAACTGAGAGGTTGTGTATGTAAACAAAAGTGGATTCTTAATTTATGAATCTCAAAAATCTACACTGGGTACACGTCAACAAAAATGGTCTGGAATGATTCTTGAGTAAAATTACTGTATACAGATGTAACCTTACAATTTTATATTAACTTCTAAGGAATACAAGCTACTGAACAAAAACTTATCTATGGCATTGGGTTATAAAAATGCACTGTAACTGTTAAAACGTGTTTTGTCTTTAAATCTTTTTCAGGTTTGCAAATTTTTCCTTGTGGATTTTTGCCCCCACGAATTGTTTGTTAACACAAGAGCCGATTTAGGTATGGTCATATTTCATGTGTAAATGTTTGTTTAAACCCTCAGCTGAATGGAAAATTGGTTTTAACAGCTGATTTTGTTAAAACAATATAATATATTGACTGTTTATCTTAATTTTAATAAGTATTCATTCAATTTTTTTTTTTCATGATGTATTAAATGTTCATTTTGCTGGTTTTGTAATTTAAAAGAATATATATATATGAAAATCAATGACTTTCACACGTTTACATATACCATGATTTATTTTGTGACTTTTCTAACTCTTCCAGGACCTTGTGAGAAGATACACGATGAAATCTTTAAAAAAGAGTAAGTATCACCGTCTTGATTTGGAGTTTTCCTTGATTGAGGATCTTATAAACATAAATTATTTTGGTACCATTTATTTCATAAATTGTCATCAGTAACTTATTTTTGAAAAATGCCTGTATGGGTTTTGAAATAACTCTGTTGTTAAATTTTTGCAGGTATAAGACTTCTACCAGGGTAAAAACCATGGGCTTTGAGGAAGAATTTGAGCGCTACTTGGAAGGGCTAATTGCTGATGTGGAAAGGCGCATTCGCCGAGGTCACCAACGCCTAGCCCTCAACAATGCCCAGGGCAACGTATGTTATCTTTATTTAATGTATTATAGGTAATCGATTATCATTTAAAGAACAGTAATTGATGTGCATGATTGTTATGACTTACAAGCAGTGTTATTTTCAATACAATGAAAGTGTCACATTTTTGACAGAAAAAGTTGTAACGGGGTAATACTAAATGCAACAGTACTTTTTGGGAGTATACTACAAGTATTCTATAAAATTTATAGATCTATACCTTGATGGAGTCTGGTTCGTTGTGGTCTTTTAGTGCCCTTTCTGATGATCTATGGGGCCTTGTCCGTTGCTTTAGGTGTCTAAACATGTTTGAACCATTTCAAGTCTGTTGCAATTACATAAATTGCATGGCAAGCATAGCAATGTTATTGTGCTTCTTATGTGTTATAGCTGAATGGACAAATGAACAAAGACAAAGAGGAAAAAGTACAGATGTTGACAGAAAGGATAAATGACCTTGTACAACAGGTAATTCATAGTTTGTAGATTAATTTTTCAAGGTTCTATTCTTTATATTAGATGTGCTTTTTAACCCTTAGGCTGCTACATTGATTTCTATGTAAACGGACACCACTGCTGAATTAATCATTGACATTTAAATTAATTTACTTGATTTTTCAAATGTGCATAACTTGGAAAATAATTGTTATATGTGAAAAAAAGTTGTATGAAAATTGTTCGTTGTTGTCTCTTGTTTATATTAACGTTTTCAATTCTAAAGTTGCTTCAGTATTTACCTGTACAGGTGGTGATAAAGGTAAGAAAATGTGAAACTTTTAATTAATCGGATTTAAGCAAGAGGAAGATCATTTTAAAATTATTTTCGTCTGCAAATGTGATTGGCAAATGATAACAGAGATTATAAACTTCATTTTTGGCATAAGACGCTGTATATATTTACACAGATATTCTCGGGTAAAAAGTTCAGGTATTTCGTCAAGAATTGCATGTGATTTGCTACAGGTTTCAGGTCGCCATTCAATAAATTTACTGTCACAGTCGGCATATAGATATATCTTAGCTACGGTCTAGTTTATGATTAAATCACCGATAAAAAGTTTGAAGAAATAAATCGGCTAAAAACATATCAATGTCAATGTTCAATTCGGCCTCACCTGCAGACGACATGTGCGCCTCGGTCCGCCGATATTTTCCTATTTGCGTAGAGCACAAAGCCGTTTACTGGAAAGTTACATATTATGTAACACCGAGTATTTCCACATCAACCATGCCAAACCCTTCAAAACCTTTATTATCATCGTAGGTGACGATGGAGAATAAATGTTTACCATCATATTCATCGCTTCAATCTACACGTCCGCCATTTTTATGACTTTTTTTTCGATTTGAAATTCTCTCGCACACCTTTGGTTATTACTAGGGTACACTGCCGACTTTTCAAAACGACTTTTTTTCACATATAACAAATATTTTCCAAGTTATGCACATTTGAAAAATCAAGTAAATTAATTTAAATTTCAATAATTAATTCAGCAGTGGTGTCCGTTTACATAGAAATCAATGAAGCAGCCTAAGGGTTAAAATTTAGAAAACAGCTTAAAATAAGATATGTTTCATGATAATTGTCAATTTTTTTATAAAACTTAACCATATTTTGATGGCAGTAGTTATTTTAAGTCCCCTACAGTCGATTACTTTTGATGTTTTGTACTGTAGATTGCGATGTTTCCTTATCAGGAAATCTTAGCACTAGTTACATTGATGAAGGACTAGTAAATAATCTATTCAACTAGTCCTGTGGACTAGCAAGCAAAAGTGTCTAACCCTGTCTCAATATATAACTATAACTCCAAAAATTGGCAAATATTGTCAGTAGATTAATTTTTCTCTGAAGTATTTTGCTAAAAGTAGCTAGCTGATTGCTGATTTATTGTACAATACTGCTATTTTGTAGGCAGAGGAACTTGGCTGTGAAGGGAAGGTGGAGGAGGCACAGGGTGTCATGAAGCTTTGTGACCAGCTAAGGGAGGAGAGGAAACAGAGCGAGTCGGTCAGTCTACTAAAATCTTGCCATTAGATATTTGTGTGGCTGTTGGCTACTTTTATTTTTTATTTGTTACTAAAAAATGTACGATGTGGTTACTTCATTGACTACTATCTTTTTAAAAATGTGGAAAATCTATCTTTGTCACAGAAAACGATCTGTTTACTTGAACGTGAACTCGCGTGTGTATTGTGGCTGACACTGATTGCGTAAACATAATCAGGGCCGTCGCAGATCAGTGCACGCTTTATGACTGCGAGTTAATTAATGTTTTTTTCTAAGTTGTAAAGTCAATTATCAAGCTTCAGGTGGCAACAGTTGTTATAATTTGTGTACATTAATGGACACTGGGGTCAAGTTAATTGGATGACCTATTGACAATGAGAAAACAGTCTGATAAGCGACTCACACATAGGTGGTCTAGCACACGTACATTTGGCGGCGGCTAGTGTTCCAATTAATCGATTTAGTCGACGTCTGATTTTGATCAAATTTGTTCTAGAGCATCTTTTGACAAAGGAGCCTTAAATTTGTATAAACGGAGGGTGTGGCTCCTCTGGGGGCAGAAGGGCAGTCTGAAGCATGCTTAGGGACAAAAGAATCAATTTAGTATAAACTGAAGCATGTGGGCTTCTTCTTTGGGGCAGATGGGTGGGACCCATTATGGGAAATGGAGGAAAACATTAAAGATCCTTCTCCTTTTGTACCGATGAAGGGATTTTGACCAAATTTGGTCTGAAGCATCATTGGTTAAAGGGTTCTCAGTTTTGTATAAACAGAGGGGTGGGACCAAATAGGGGGAAAATAGGTGAATCTTTAAAAATCTTCTTCTCAACCGATGGAAGTATTTTGACCAAATTTGTTCTAGAGCATCTTTGGCCAAAGGAGTCTCAAGTTTGTATAAACGGAGGGGGTAGCCCCTCTGGGGGCATAGGGGAAATAGAGGAATATTTTTGTCCTACTATACAAGTGAAGGGATATAAACCAAATGCAGTCTGAAGCATGCTTAGGGACAAAAGAATCAATTTTGTATAAACTGAGGTGTGTGGACCCCCTTCTTTGGGGCAGATGGGTGGGGGCCATTAGGGGAAATAGAGGAAAACATTTAAGTTCCTTCTCCTTCTGTACTGTTGAAGGGATTTTAACCAACCTTGTTCTAGAGAATCTTTGGGCAAAGAGAATTTAACATTTATAAATGGAAGATGTGCGTGACGGTTGGAGGCTGAGAAAGTTTGGTTACTGTTAAAAAAAAATGGCTACTGAATTTTTAGGTCCAGGATGAGCCCTGGTACTATAAACACAGTTGAGTTAAACATTATTGTATGTGAAAAATAACTTTAACCCTTTCATCCCTATGTAACTTCAATAGGCTCTACCATCCATTGATATGGACGAGTCCATTGCTGTCCACAGTAGTGAAAGGGTTAAGCTTAATACATACTGTAAAACTCCAAAAATACATGGAATATGGCACAAAGTTTCAATAAGAAAGCCATCTGGCATCAAATTTTTGATATATTTATTGTATATCTTCACATCTTTTTAGTACTCTTAACTCATTCACCCCTGAAATTTCATAATGAACTATTCCAACCTTTGAATTGGAAGAGTTCAAATGTGTCTTCAGGGGTGAATGAGTTAAGTCATAATTTTTTCTTTATTTGAACACCATCGTACTGAAACAATCCAAATTTATCCATTTGTATCACTCTGGTAAATATGTATAATGTTGTAACTTGTACTGTAGAATAAGCTGGCAACTCAGTCTAATGAGCCGGAGAAGACAATGGAGGTATGCTCAGTGTGTGGGGCTCTGCTAGTGGTGGGCGATGTCCAGCAGCGCATTGATGAACACTTGATGGGCAAACAACATGCTGGATATGCACGCATTAGGGCCTATGTGGAGGGCAAGAAAATGGTGAGTATACAACCACTGACCATATGTCAAACTGCTTGTCGCTGTTCTTAACACTCCGATCAGATTATCATTTCACTGTACTGTAGTTGTAAAGTCTTTAGAGTTACAAATTCATCAATTTGTCGTTTTGTTGGAAGCAAATCCCATATACTGTACCAAAAATATGTTCCAAAATGACTAATCAGCATTTATAATGCATGTCCTTTCCTTACTTGAAGAAAAAATGGGAAAATTTAACCATTGTTTGATCAGATCCTTTGCTTTTTCAGAAAAGGGTAAATGAGGAAGAGGAAAGAGAAGCTAGATACCAAAAGGAGAGAGAAGACCGCGAGAAAGAGAGGGAAAAGGAAAGAGAAGAACGTCGTCAACGAGAGAAAGAAAGAGAAGAAAAGGAAAAGGAACGTGAAAGAGAGAGGGAAAAAGAGAGAGAAAAGGAAAGAGAAGAAAGAAGAAAGAAACGCTCTAGGAGCCGTGATCGCGATAGGTAAGTACAAAATAAAATAGTACAGAAATGGTTATAATTGTTTTTCAAACTTACCATCTTCTTAAATTAAGCCATGTTCTTTTATACATCAATATTAAACATGGATTGAATTTCGAAGTTATTAATTAAGGTTAATTGGATACTAAATGTGATATACCTGACGAGATCTTAAATGCCTGTTTGTTTTAGACACAGACGATCACGAAGTAGAAGTCGCCAGAAACGTAGATCTAGGAGTCGTTCAAGGGATCGTCACAGGTCCTCTCGTAACCGCCGCTCTAGGTCAAGGTCACGCTCCAGGAAGTCGAGGAGCCGAGACAGAAGGTCACGTGATAAAGATTCTCGCCGTCGGTCCCGCAGTAAAGAAAGGTCGCGGGATAAGGACCGCAGTTCTCGGGACCGGTCTAAGAGGAGTAGAGACAGGAAAGATAGAGATAAAGGTAAGAACTCATAGAATTCTGGGTAATTTACCGACGAATTATATATATATGTATGTTAGATTAAAATATAAATAGCTAAAACATGAAGAAAAGTTATTATGTCAACTAAGATATAGTATAATGGTAAGTGTTTGGTATTTGAAATTTTCAAGTGATTGTGTTAATATAAGAAAATCCTCTTTATTATGGTTAATTATAATCAAAGTATTAATATTTTAGTGTCAATTTGAAATCGATCTATTAGATCATTCTTGATTACCTGTAAGAAGAGACAGCTTAATGACGTTGATATGAGAAATATTTATGCGGAAACAAGTGTAAAAATCAGCAGTAGCTTTAATTTATCATGTACATTTAATACCATATTTACATGGTTGAACTTAAATGCATGCGATTATTATTATTTTTCAGGAAAGACGAAATCCCGTTCTAGAGACAGAGATGGCCCTGTCGCACAGGAGAAATCCAAAGAGGACACGTCGTCCAATAGAAAAGACGAGCATGCACAAAATACCGTTACAGAGGAAAGCAAAGACTGATTTAGAGGTGACACAATATTTGCTGTCAGTTTTCAACAATCAAGGTAAGTTAACTAGTGTCCAGTGATGAAGAGGTCAAAGTTGACCAGAGAACTGACCAATGATTGAGATTGAAAATAGGTAATACCATGCAATGCAGGTAAGTGCAGGAACAGCGTGATTGTAGATGCGAAATTTGGTAATTGTTACTGAATCAGTTTCAGGGAACTAGGGCATACATCTTTGTCAGAAACAAAATTAATTGCAGATACCAGAAATAAGACATACAAAACAAATTGATCAATCAGTAAAATATTGTCGTCAGTTTTGTTTTGAATTGCAAACAAAAAACAAAAAAACTTTTGTAATCAACGTGATACAAATATCTACTTCAAAATCAAGATCATCGAAGTATGAATTTGTTTCAGACAAAAAAAAATCTGTTCCGTTAATCATAAGAAATTAAGGTTGAAAGAAATGTTCCAGTTGGTACTAGGGGTGGAATAAATTAAAACGCTGGACTAGAATCTTAAGTGTCAGATAAACTTTGAATGATTTGTATTCAATTTTCCACCTTTTATATATGAAATCAATCCAAGGCTTGCTGCCGACCAAGCTATTTGCCGACATCCTTACAGAGCGTATAAACAATTTCATCGTGTATTTGTTGCTATACCAAATGCAAGGTGAGTGGTGAAAAAAATAAAACTCAATGTCTAATATATAATGTATTTTTATAATTTTAATTTTTACATAACTTGTTTTTTTTATTATTATTATTATTATTTTATGTATGAATCACCTAGGATATGAACAATTGAAGTCATAAAGAATTTTATTGTGCATTTCATCTTTCCAAAAGTGAATATGCAAGATTTTTTATTTTTTTTCGCTTTAAATATAGACATTAATTGTTGTACGTATTTTTAAGATTTTTTAAACGGTCATATATCTATTGACATCAGTCACCTTGAGAAACAGGTAAGATCTATAATCATTTGAGTCACACTCCTGGATGTTGATGCTGATATTTGAGAGGTAAAATTATGTAAACTGATATAGAAATGTGGAACAGTTGGAAATTTGTTTGGGAGGGGGAACAAAACAGAAGACATCATTTAAATTTGACTTTCGTTTAAAAGATATTGAAAACAAAGGAAAATAATTTTGGTTCCTCTGTTTATGGATATTAAAATGACATTTTAAATGTATAAATAAATTTTAAAAAAAGGCTGGAAATAGTCACCAGAAATGGCAGATACACAACGCAGGTTAGTGTGGATTTTTACGATATTTGTTACTGACCCGATCACCATTCTTGTCTGAAAGATCTGCTCCGATAACAGAGGTTAGTGATGCAGTTTATATTGTGCAGTGTCACTCGAGGGAGATGTTTAGTACACATCGTGGCCAGTGCTACATTTCAAATTCTCCTGTGTGCCAGGAAGACAATCTGCTCTTGTAGAGACCGAGGTTAGTGTTTTGATACAATTGATATTCTGCTTTGAACCAAGATGAAGATCCGCTCTTGTAGAGACTGATGGTAGCGCTACAGTGGAAAATTCTGCTCTGTACCGTGACGAAGATATCTTGTATAATTTTTAGGTCACCTGAGCTTTAGCTCAAGTGACCTATTGCTATCCGTTTTCGTCCGTCGTCGTCCGTCGTCCCTCGTCCGTTAACNATGGCTAAAAAGTATAATCTGCAACATTAGGAGAGGAAGATCTGCACTTCGTAGAAATGGAGGTTAGTGCTACTATCCTGTTGTACAGTGTTTTTAAATAGCCGTACCTCGAGGCGAGTTGTGTACAAGGTGTTGTTGTCTGTTGTGGGTTTAGGCTTTGCCAGCTTTTGTAAGCATTTGCTGTTGGCAGAACAATTGATTCGTATAAAGGTTGGTTGATGAATGTTCATCACTAGATGTCTGTGATGTTTTGTTCATGTTTTTACGAGTCACATCTCCCTACATGTTGGAGATCTAGAGGATTTTGAGGATTTTGTTGTCTCCGAGACAGGAAAATGGAATTTTGAGGTTAGTGAAAGCTCTAGTAAGTCTGCCAATGATTTGAGCTGATCCTGAGTTGAATTAAGGTTAGTGGAAACATAACGTTTTGTCATGATCCGAACCAACTCCTGTGGTGGACAGCAGGCGACACGTTTCCCAGATTCCACAGCATTGTCAAGTAAGAGTAGTGGTGAGAGAGCGCGGCCATGGCTCGGGCAACACCTTGGCCATAGCTGCCAGCTTCGTGCATGTACATTTGACATCTTACGGAAAAAAACTACTCTTAAAAGACATGTGCACAATACTTCTGATTTCAGTGGCCTTCAATTACAATAGCAAAACTACTGTGGAGAAGGGAAAGCAATATAAAGAAACAGGATTGTGAATGAAAACTACTCCCCTCATGCTCATCTGTGTAATGTAACAGGTATGACTTCCCAATACTTGCTGGTTCCCTCTATGTAATACACTGTACTGCTTTGCTGGGGATGTCTTTTATCATGTTTAGGGGTCTTAATTTCAGGTACAGCTTGGGAATACAGTTGCCTATGCAAACCTAAACGAGGCCGTTGTTTGTGCCCCTAAATGAGGCCGTTGTTTGTGCCTTGTATAATATCTGTTTATTGCAGAGTTTCCAGTGTCGGTTCGAAGTACGCTGATACAAGATTTTGATTTTTTTGAGAATATTCTCATCATAAAATGCCCACAAAAAGATTTGAAGCCATTTTTTTTTTAAACAGTACTTTTTTGGTGATAAAATCGATGCATGTTAAAAAATGTGTTGTGCCCAGTTGATGTTAAGTATTCTAACTGGTGTTGAAATGTTGCAACATCCAGAAAAAAATATTAAAGAGGTTGATTGGTTGGTGTACCTGGTACTACCGGTAGTTGTTTATTATAAAATTAACACAAGGAAATTTGGTAAATGAATTTCATAGAAAAAAACCATGACAATAGGAGGGAAGTTACAGTGTAGTAATGATCAACAAAGTGTCGCCCCACACCAGCAAGCTTCTATATTTTCTACTGTCATTTACCTGTGAAAAGCAGACAGCTCATGAAGATTTAATCGGCCCATCCTTTATAATCATGTCTAGGTTAATCCTTTTGCCACTTTAGACCATAATGGGCTCGTCCAGATTAATGCATAGTAGAGTGTATTAAAATTTCATAGGGGTGAAATGGTTAAGTCCATTTACACAGGTAAAATCTGGTGGTTGGTAAATCACTCAACATGACCGTTACAGACAGTTCCATTGCTTACCGTGGTTGAATCAGAGTATTTGTTCAAAAGGCTCCTCACAGTATTCCAACAGAAAATGAAAATATACCTAATCAAGGCCTGATAAAAAATATTTGATTTTGGAAAATAAGGGGGGGGGTATTTTGGAAATATCAGAATAATGAAACAAAAAAAATTCTAAGCAAATTTAAATGAAATTGATCGAGTGTATGATACCGATAAGCTAGTGTTTGGCTCTGGAGAAGAGCCCTTTGAACAATTGGTGGGAAAGTGTTGTTGGGAGATTGCAACAATTTAACTTTGAATATAATACATAAAATTAATGTTTTCTAATTTACGTTTTTCTTATTTTTGCATTTTTCAGATATTTGTTCAGAAGTCGATAGTGAAGTAGCCCGGTGCCATACCGTTGTTTCGGGGAGGAGTCTAACCGTTGATGCTGAATGGCAGATGGACAGATCTCTTGAACTGCTATTCTCTCTTTGTTGGTTAACATATGTATTATCTGTTCCTATTTTGAGGTATGTTATATGTATGTTGATGATTGTTTATAAGATAATCACAATTTCGTTCAAGACTTTGTTATTAAAGAGACAGAAAAAACTGTACATATAAACGCATATTGTTATTGGAGAATATTATTTTGTCATTATCTCCGTTCATGGCAACTTTGGCGTCGTGTAATTAATTTGTCCAAAACATTCTATACGTTTAGTTCTCCGTTGTTACTTGATGTATAAATTATCAATTGAACCTGTTCATGTAAATGGATACTACTAAACAATAAGATGAAAATAAAGTCCACGAATCAATGCTGTTGTTGAATTTGTTATTTATGCAAGAATTCTTGTACCTACCACAGAACATGCAGGAAATGTTCAAAATTGCTATTTGTTCAGTCAAGAAATGTTTGGAGCAAGGTCAGGAAGAGAAGACAACTAATATTTTCTCAGCAAGTCGAGGTTACCACATTATCGCTGTAGTAGAATCTCACATACTGTTTCCATTCCGTTGAACATCAAGTTTTTATTAAGTTCAGTCTTAATCTGAATAGGATTTAAAGAGGAAGCCATCAGCCAGTTTGATTTCAACAAGAGGCCCAAAGGGCATTAACACTAAAACAAGTTCAAATAATAAATATCTTGGTGATTCTGAGGCTTTAGTAGTCATCTTTGATTATTTTTTTTATCCGCACAAGAAGTTGAAAAGTGGAGCTATTCTTGAGAAACAGTTGAAATAGGTCATCTTGGATTTTCGGATCAGCACAAGGAATATTTGTACAAGGTCAAGGTCAATCAGTTGAGAGGTTCTGAAGAAGTCCAAAATGTTAATTCTTCACACACAAGGACAGACAGCAATACCTCACATTAGCAATCATGTGAGCTAGAGAAAAGCTCATTGGGCCTGTATTGCTTTAATACCTGTTTTTTCTGAACTAGAGAAGAAAGAAAAATCTCTTCAAATTTGACACATTAGAATAGTTACCATCTCGGATTAATTGGTTTGTGTGTATTCAAGGACAGAGAAAAAAAGCCACGGACCTGCGGCTAATACACCAACTTTTTAGGTCACCTGAGCTTTGCTCAAGTGACCTATTCTGATCGCTTTCCGTCTTTTGTCGTCCGTAAACTTTTTACATTTTCGACTTCTTTTCAAGAACCAGTGAATGGAAAAAAACTTTTTACATTTTCGACTTAAGAACCAGTGGATAGAATTTTTCCAAACTTGGTCAAAATCAACCGTGGTAGATGAGGCTACAGAATTGTAAGATTGGGATACCTAACCCGGGCCTTATTGGATTTCTGATCGACCCGAAAAATAACAACACTTTGTCAGGACCATGAGTCGATCATTCCTACAAAGTTTCAGTTCAATCGGCCTAGCAGAACTTGACTTTAAATTTGATATAGTTTTTCAAAATGACGGCCATATTGAATTTCTGGTGGACCCGAAAAGTAACAACACTTTGGCAGTACCATGAGTTGATCATTCCTACCAAGTTTCAGTTCAATCAGCCCAGCAGAACTTGACTTAAAGTTTGAAATTGTTTTTAGATTACCTGGTCCGAAGGACCAAGGGTGAGCTTATGCCACAGTCCGTCGGTCAACAATTTCTTTAAACGACTTCTTCTTGACCACTGATTGGAATTTAACTAAATGTGACTGGAAGCATCCCTATGTGGTGGGGATTCAAAATTGTACAAATGGTGGGGCTGAGGGGCGGGGCAATTTGGCTATATTGCTTCAAGCGACTTCTCCTCTGGAACTAAGAGATGGATATCAACCATATTTGACTGGAAGCCTCCCTAGGTGGTGGAGATTCAAAATTGTACAAATGGTTTGGCTGAGGGGCGGGCCCAAAAGGGGACAATTTGGCTATATTGCTACAAACGACTTCTTTTGTAGAACTATGCACTGGATATCGATCATATTTAATCAAAAGCATTCATGGGAGGCAGGGATTCAAAATTGTAAATATGGTGTGGCTGACCCCCCAGGTGGCTGAGGGGTGGGGCCAAAAAGGGTTCTCTTGAACTAAGAGATATATATCAACCATATTTGACTGGAAGCATCCCTAGGTGGTGGGGATTCAAAATTGTACAAATGGTGGGGCCGACGGGCTAAGGGGTGGGGCCAAAAAAAGTTGATTACTTGGAAATGGTCGAGATCCCCACCATATAACCATATATACAATTGCTGAGTATAAAGAGAAGAATGCACATTTGCTTCCAGGATGGCCCTAGGGTCTGGCCCCACCCTTGGAGACATAGTCCCTAGGCCATAACTTAAAAACGGTTGTGATCCCGACCCCAAAACTACATATACAAACGCTGGGCATAAAGAGACGAATGCAGCCATTATATTAGAATATACCCTGGGGTCTGACCAAACCCCTAGGGACCTAGTTTCTTTGTCACAGCTGGGAACTGGTTGAGATCCCCATCCTATAACCATATATACAATTGCTGAGTATAAAGAGATGAATGCACATATGCTTCCAGGATGGCCTTGGGGACTGCCCCATTCTTAGAGATTTAACCCCAAAACTATATATACAATATTGTTGGGCATAAAGAGAAGAATGCAGTCATATTAGAATTGACCCCAGGGTCTGCCCCACCCCACCCTTGCAGACTTAACCATTTCAAAGTTATGACCCAGGGGTTAAGATCCCCACCCCAAAACTATATATACAATATTGTTGGGCATAAAGAGAAGAATGCAGTCATATTAGAATTGACCCCAGGGTCTGCCCCACCCCACCCTTGCAGACTTAACCCCTGGGTCATAACTTTGAAACGGTTGAGATCCCACCCCAAAACTATATATACAAATGCTGGGCATAAAGAGACAAATGCAGTCATGATATTAGAATTGATCCTAGGGTCTGGCCACAACCCTAGGGACCTAGTTTCTGAGTCACAGCTTGGAAGCAGTTGAGATCCCCACCCCATAACCATACATAAAATAGCTGGGCATGAAAAATCTAATACAGATATGCTACATGGCCTTGGGGTCTGGCATATTCCCTTGAATCTCATTTGGAGAATATTTTGCCATGATTGCTTAGATATCCAGGTGAGCGATACAGGCCCTCTGGGCCTCTTGTTTCAAAATGGCGGCCGTATTGGATTTCTGATCGACCCAAAAAGAACAACACTTTGTCAGGACCATGAGTCGATAATTCCTAATAATTCCAATTAAGTTTCAGTAGTTTGAAATAGTTTTCAAAATGGCGGCCATTGTGGCCATATTGGATTTCTGATCTACAGTCAATTTCTCTGCATGGATGGAAAGATCATCAGGGGCTTTAATTTCAGTAACCCCAGGCTATCCTTTCTCCCTTGGGGAGGGGGTAAAGTTTATATAGGGAAATAACACTTTTGGGTACAGTTTGTTAATTTTTAGTAGGAAATTATTCTTACTTTTTGAGAATCATCCTTGGAGAAAGATTGTATCAAAATGTAAAATTGGGATTCCTACCCAAACCTCAGGGGCCAGGGCAGGGCCTAAAAGGGAAAATTAACAAATATTTCAGCAAAAGGCCCAAGTACTGGTAGCTTTATTTTATTGTTTAGATGTGAAGTGGAAATCAGCATGTAAACTAAGTGAAATACAATTCTTGTCATGTCATGAAAGGATAAGAATTTGAAAATATTGGTAAATGTTCCCTTTGGGGCCCCTGGGGATGGGGCAGGAATTCCAATTTTACAATGTAATACCCTCCCTCATCCACTAAAGATGATTCTGACCAAGTTTGAATAATTTTCTGCTGAAAATGGATAAAATATACCCAAAAGTGTTATTTACCTATATAAATTATAGTAAACTTTACCCCCTCCCTAAGGGGGAACAGATGGCTCAGGGGTCCTATAAAGCTCCTGATGATCTTTCTATCCATGCACTGAAATTGATTGGATTACCTCGGAGTCTGGAGAAGAAGAATTTTGAAATATTGGTTAATTTTCCCTTTGGGGCCCCACCCCGACCCCAGGGGTTGGGGTAGGAATCCCAATTTTACAATTTTGTAGCCTCATCTACCAAGGATGATTCTGACTAAGTTTGAAAAAATTCCATCCACTGGTTCTTGAGAAGTTGAAAATGTATGGCCAGATTCAGAGGTACTACAGCCAATTTCTCTGCATGTACAACACGAGTACTGCGGGGCGGAACAAAAAACGCCCATCCAATACCATATAGTGTTATATACTTTCTTACATTGAAAAAAGATCTGCATCATTCTAAGAGTGGTTAGCTGACATGCTATAGAAAATGTAGGAGAAAATCTAAGGACAAAAAACAAATACTGAAATGAATAAAGGGCAATAACTTTTGCAAAAATTATTGAATCAAAATTCTTTTATGGGAGACACAACTTCATATCATGATTATAATGTATACCAAGTTTCAAAGAGATCCGTTGAAAAATGTAGGAGAAGATTGCCGGACAAACAAAAGTTTACGCCGGACGGACGGACACCCCCACATAATATACTGTCAAATTTGACGGTCGTATAAAAAGATCATCAGGGTCTTTGTTTAAATTGTAAATTTCAGTACTCCCGGGCCATCAGTTCTCCTTTTGGGAGGAGGGGGTCAAATTAACTAGTTTATATAGGGAAATAACACTTTTTGGTATATTTTGTCCATTTTCAGCAGGAAATAATTCTAACTTGGTTGGAATGATTATGATGCCAGATGACAATTAGATGGTACGAGATACAAGTTCTCTTACCACGGACAGGTGTATCCACTCTTTTAACGGTGAGTTTTCGTCTCGCCCTAGGTTTGAGACGGGGGGATTCCCCTATTCATAACAATGGTACGACGTCACTTAAACAAGACAATGAATTTAGCCTGAAACGTTAACACAACAATATGCAGATAATTCACTACAGGTGAACAGGGTAAGAGAAAAATAATCAATCATCCCCAAGGAGGTGATAGATTCTATTAATCCTGCCCCATCCCCAGGGGCTGTAGGGGTGGGGCCCAAATGGGGATTATGGTTAAAAGTCAAACTCGGTTACCTTAATTGTAAATTTCATTATCCTGCAAGGAAACATCGCGATCTACAGCACGAAACATCTAAAGTAATCAACTGTAGTGTATCTTGAAGTAACTGCCATAAAAATATGGCAAATGTTTTGGAAAAAATTGACAGGTTAGGTGATTGACTAGTTCTTGCTAGTATCTACTAGTCAAGGACTAGTGTTAGTGTCGACCCCTGTAATACCTGGTGGCTGCATAGCATATCCCTCAAATCCGTGTCACACGAGTATGTGTGGGTTACTTCTGGTATGAATATATATTAACCCATAGGCTAAAGTACACACAGATGACAGTTTATTTATTATACATTCACACTCGTAAACGGAGACGGTTCCCCGAAAGTGTACATATACGGACACATGTAAACGTATAACCATATCCACATATATTAAAACTTAGACATTACTTGTAGATTAATAATATATTATTATATTTTATTTCAGAAACTTGCATAACATAGAACCTGACCACGTGTACCCTAATTTAACTTATAGCCTCAGATATTTTACAGCAATATATTTCAAATGCAACAAATTATAAAATCCAAGTACTTTATTTAATAATTTGTTAAACTGAAGTAATAGTTTGTTTGATATAATTTTAAATTTAATAGAAGACTTACCTTGCACTGTGGCAGTAAAGCACACAGGCCATTCAAATGCGTCTATTCCAAGCCAAGGGTTGGTGTTGAGTGAATTAACTCACCTGGGCAGAGCCCAGGTAAGGCTCTTCACATGCAATGACAGGGTCAAAGGTCAAAATGTCACTCTCAGCCAATACTTACACCCACCTCTCATACGTCACAATGATAACACAGGTACATTACCCGACACAGGCACATATACTATTACACACGATACACAGCGCAAGTATTAATATGTACTCAAATTGCATCGTATTTACTTACTAAACTTACTGGACAAACTTGTTTATAAGTTTGGTCACCATGACACCCGCAACCCAGTGATGCACCTATATACAAAGTTTGATGCCTATCATTTAACAAGAGGCCCAATGGGCCTGCATCGCTCACCTGTTATTAATCTAACACTTGTAATCTTAAGATTTCATAAGAACCTATTAAAAGATTTAAACATATGACGCCTCTGACCTTGATTGTCGAACAAGGACATTAGGTTGAAAGTGGATCAAGGTCATTCATTTGAACTAACATGGTAATCCTTCATCCCAGCATGCTACAGGCCCAATTTCAGTACCCTGGCCCTTTTGCTTATTGAAAAGAAGTCGCTTGAAGATTTTACGACATTTGACCCCTGTGACCTTGAAAGTTGGTCAAGGTCATTCAGTTGAACAAACTTGATAGTCCTTCATCCCAGCATGCTACAGGCCCAATATCAGTACCCTGGGCCTTTTGGTTATTGAGAAGAA